GCTTGGATATACTCATATAGGTAGATAAATATTCAGACCGTCTGGTTTCTTATTGAGTCAACTGGGCTCTGATAACACAAGGAAGCCGCCTGACACAGTCATAGCCCAGGATGTTGACAATGAACCAGGTAACTGTACTGGAACTGGCAGTTCTTTAAAGGCTACAATTGAAAGAATGGGCTTGGGGAAGAAAATCATCAAAGCCTTGGATACCAACTTGGAAGCAATTCACAAGAGGGAGGTGTTTCTTCTGCCGGAGATTTCATCTGAGACCATCACAGGAATGGATCAGACTCTCCCCACCCACTCCTCATTCTTAATTGAAAACAGAGCATACAAAATTAAACCATTTGTATTTGCTGATGGCTAGGAGAGCACTTCTGCCCAAACTCAACATGAACTGCAAAACATTCCAATTTTCAGGAATACACGGAAATTACAATTGTTTTGAATATTAGTGAGACCTTGGAGAAAAGATCTAGTCCGTTGTTTACAATGATAGAGGAAGAAATTAAATGTGAGAAAAGATAAACCTTCCTTCTAGCAGGATTTTATTTGCTAAAATGAAATTTTTACCTGGAATCCTTGCTTTATTTCTGAGGTTCCCATTATCAGTCTTAGAACAAAGATTGAAACACAAGGGAAATTACTTAATGACTTCATTTGGATGCATAAAAGCCATTGCAAGGCAGTTAAACAAGAACATTTAGCAATTTGGCTATTCAGTGTACTAAGTTATGGGCCAGCTCAGAGGTGTCTTTGGATTGAGGACAGACTCTCCCTACAAAGGGTGTTAATGCCGGTGATTGCAGGGGGAGGGGGGCATTTTACAAGGAAACGACCATTCTTCTCTAATCCTATTTTGAAAAGGTTTTGAAACCTTGGACGTTCATTTTTTTTAATCAGGTATTAATCTTCAACAAAAATAATTAAGATCTGGCCAAATATACTAGAAATATATTTTAAAAGCTTTCTAGATTTGTTAGTATTCATAAGAGCAGGAATTTTATAGCCCTGGAGCAAGAATTACACATCCCTTGGTTTATTTATTTACAACTCAATAATTTTCTCAACTGGAGAACTGTTACACTTCAGATCTCTAGAGAATGGATGGGATTTGAATAAATATGGCACTCCAAAGGCTAGATTTCCCAGTTGTATTGGGTATGTAAACTTAGCTACAAGGAAATACCTGGTCATATAGCTGTTTGGAACATGGAGGCTTGGGAAATAAATTCCCCCTGAGGAATGGAAAAGCATCTGGTCTCAGTACTCAGCATCATCGGTATCTGTGAATGTTTTTTTAAAATTTGCCTGAAATAATATCCAGATGGCACCTGACAATACTTAAAATAAATTTAATTTACAGCAAGTTTCCTGGGTTTTGTTGACAGGATTGTGATCTGAGAAGTATTTCTATATATCTGTGGAGGCTACCCCTGCACTCTTACACCTTGCCACTTGATAGACTACCAACATGCAGTCCTGAAGATCATGTTCAACTCTTAATGAGTGTTTCATTGTCTGCATGGGAAAAATGTGCATCTTAAGTTTAACCAAAATTGTAAATGTTTCTGTGAATAACAGGCAATGAAGTGATGCCCACATTTTAAAAACCTAAACAAGTCCTAATCTGGCTCTCTAAATTGCAGGACTTTTCAATAATTGAAACTCATTTCATCAATTACAAGGTCACAGTAAAGCAAAGAACTTTCACAGCGATCCTGTTTGCACATCATATTACTCCTTAAAGCACTGCAATGTGCTTTGGGCTAGTATACTGCCATGTCCCATATCCTCCTCCTGCATGATGAGGGGATGTCTTCAGAAGCTTTCTGTCCCATTGTTGCTCTGTCAGCCAGACCTGGAATCATGGTTAACAGTAACTAGGACTAGTTTAAAGGAGCCAGCTTCAGAAACCAAGGGTTGATGTTGGCTTATATAAAGCCACCCATAATATTAACTAGAAGACTCAGGAGACCACAGTCAACTAAACCTGGATCTAGACATGTCAGAAGGGATATGGAAGGATGTAAGCCTGAGTTGTGCTATAGCTCATTACTTGTGCATATCATGTTAAACTTTAATAAAAGTAACACAGAGAATGAATTAATACAGTTCAGCACTATAGATTTAACAAAAACAAGATTTAACAATAGAAGAAGCACATGCTTCGCAGGTTGTTGTTTGGTGCCCTAAAACACAAGAAGAGAATCTTTCTTTCGGCTTGTAGTACTTGCTAACTTGACTGTCCCATTGTTCATTGATGATTGCCTTTCTGTACATTGTACACATTTATATAAATTCTGGGTTTGTACTTGCTGCTATGCAGCTTTTCTGTATAATTCCTCTTCCAAAAAGGGCTATCAAATATAATCTAATCTATTTAATGAAATAAAGAGCATGAACAAACTATGTGGCATAATGTGTGACAAATATCCGTTATATAGACTCACTACAGAATGGTAAAGGAAGCCCCCTAAAGAGTGGCTGTTCAGGTAAGTTTGGTTTAGCATATTATGCTATGTTTGTTTGCTTACCTTCCCATGGAAAGGCTTTTGAGCTGGAGGAAGTCCACATGTTGTTTGCCTTATAATTTCCTTCTTTGTTGCCCTGCAGAACCCAGAAGAGCAAGACACATAATTGTACAGTTGTTCATTTTATAAGCTATTCATCGTTAAAGGCAGCAGAATGTGAAACAATCAGTCTAGCCCTGGAGCAGTAGAGTAGTACAAAATATTATACCTTATAATGAACAGCTCTTTGTATCGTAGTTTTGTAGCTTGTCTTTCATTTCAAGTGTTGTGTCTCTTACTAGCCTCTATATAGTTCCACATACTTTTACTGAAATAGAGAATTTTGAAATATAAAGGATGAGCCAAGCTTCTGGTATGTATAGTGAGGGAAGGAGCAATGAATGCAGAAATATTTTCCTTTTCTTGCAGATACCGTTCAGACAGATTAAAATAATGGCTAATGTAGAATGTTGAGAAAGATTAATTGCCTTGTTGGAGTAAATGTTGGGCCGCTTTACACCTGTTGTTGCATGTGGTAAGGAGTTTAAATATACAGCTCATGACTATACCAGCATCAGGAGCACATTAATTATAGAATGGAAATACTCTTCTTATGTCTGTCATGGCAGCATAGAATTCTCATTAGTTTTCTAACTGAGCTTCATAAATCTCGGAGAGGCATTGTGGTCTTGAGGGATTGGAAGAGATTTTCATCCATTTCAAGAGTTGGGCCTTTTCTCTTTGACACTTCAGAGGCTTTGACACATTGGATTCTAATGAAACATTTGGTATTAGCAGGAATACACTTTGAAAGAACAATGGATCTGGATACCTCTATAATATTGAAGAGTGTTGTGACTTCTGAAAGACTAACATAGAAAACTTGTGGCATAGAAATACTGGTTAGTTGTTGAAGGTACCATAAGTCTCTGGCCTGTCTCCAGTGAACAGAAGGGCTCCACTCATAGAAGGTACCTTTCCTCAGTTTTCAGTGATCAATATGGACTTTGATTCAAATTGCAACACGATCATGAACTTGCTGCTTCTGCTTCCCACATTCTCATGGGAAAAATGACCATGAATAGCTGACATTGGCTCTCCTGCGACTCTCTTTTCCCAACCCCACTGTGATAGCAGCTACTGTGGAATCAAAAGTAATTGCGGCCTCCCATGGAAGGGAAATACAGTTAACTTATGCAGACCTGTTTATGTATATATTTATTTACTTTTAAAACCTAACCAGTTCATCTCCCAGAGAAGCTACTGAATGTTTTACTGAATTACATATACAGTATATATTCTAGAGCACAAAATGTTGGAAGGATTATATATATGTTGTTGTCTCTCCTAACAATAATGTTCACATCATTGTTAAAACTATGCATTGTAGTTCAGTGAAGCAGGATTCTCCATAAGCAGGGCAATCCCTGTTTGCTACTGTGCGAATGAAATGCTATTTAATGCATTCTAATTTTAAACTTTAGTGTAAGAACAAACCATTATCTTGCTGCAGATCTAATTTAGAGTGCGTCACAAAAGGAATCTACAGCTCTCTGGGTATTGTTGGGTTACAAGTTCCATAATCTTGGACCATTTGCCTTGCTGGTTGCAGGTGGTTGAAGTTCAACAACATCTGGGGAACACAGGTTTCCCAACTAGTTTAAGGTTCTCAAGAACACTGAAAAAACCAATCTAAATCCTAATTCCAGTCTATTAGCCACTAAGTCATAACAGAAGGAAAGAAAAACAGGAATCAAATTTCCCTAAGACATCAGTATTAAAATTACACTGTCAGATGTCTTCAGTACATTCTTTGAAAGGTATTTGGGTAACTTACCATGTAGTAAGACTTGAGCTAAAGGCCTTGTACACATGGAATGTCCAATGGGTCTGATCAAGCCTATATCTTTTTTTAAAAAAACTTCAAAACTAGAATGTGTACAGTGTGGTTAATATATTTCTGTTTAATCAAAAGGGAGGACATAGATCCAGAAAGTTCCTTAATGAATTTAAGGTAGTGGTTTGAATGAAGTATTTCTTGTTTAAATATTTAATAGCAGATCTGTCTAAGTGTGATCTCTTGACATTAACCACAAATCGTCTGCTAAAATAAGTAGCACTTAGCTCTGGAAACTTTGAGGACACTGCCAAGATTTGCTGGAAACAGATAATGAAGCTATACACAAGTCTAGAGAAAAGCTTGAAGATTTAAAACTGAGATTTAATTTGGGAAAAGAAAACAGGATATGGAACTCAACGTTTATTTAAGAATACTATGCTCTGAAGGCCATTTCTTATGAGTTTTACATATTTTAACATATTAAACTTGCTCTAGAAAATATTTGTATTCTAATTCATGGCAAACATACATGCTTAAAATATAGAAAATATATAATTCGATTTCTGCAGCAATGTAGCTCCATAGGGTATTTTGAAATATGTTGGCTGTTGTGTGATAATGACTGGTTTAAATATGTTTTGTAGGATTATTTAACCATTCACAAGTATGGCAATGCTGCCAGAAAGGACCTATGGAACACACTATCAGAGGTAAAGCACTTTAAAATATTTACAGAACAAATATAGTTTTTACTTTGGGCTCTTGTTAGTATATGTCAGTATTCCATACTGTTACTTGTATGGTGTTTAGGAAAGAGGTTCTCATGTAGCTTTAGAACCTGGCTTTCAGGCCAGTACCAAACCGTGAAACATCTGAATTAGAACTAGAATCCTTTAAGCTCGTGCTAAAGACCTACTACTTACCACTGGATAAACACCATTGGTTTCCCAGCCTCCGAAGTTAGGGATAATACCCGTTTACAAACTAAGAGCTTGTTGAGATTGGCAATATAAAAATGTATTCTTTATCCCTTTGTAGTTCTATTATCACCAAGTACATGCATACTGATGAACTGGCCCAATAGGGATAAGGATGTTTCTACTAATTTTCACAGTTATTTTCAGAAGCATGAAAGGTCCATTGATCAAGGAGACACTCCTGTGTATGCAGCAGAGCCAGTGTAGATGGAGCAGCCCTGTTGGATACGGCCCTTGGTCTTGACATATTCAGAAACCATATAAAGACAGCAGGAAACAACCTCTCCTCTCCAAGCCTGTGATCATTATGGCTGCATGAATTTTTTGTGAAGTTTGACTCCTTAATGCAAAAGTCCCTTTTTTAAAAGTTGAAAGTTGAAATGTATTTTTCATTCCTGTCTGCATTTGTAGTTCATTTGCTGCTTTGGTAGCATTGTTTCATGTATATTTTATTCGTTTAAAATCTTTCAGGGCAGAAGTCTTCTCGAGGTGACTTAAAACATAAAAAATACATAGACTAAAAATGATAATATAATAATTAAGCAAGCATAAATAAAAATGGGCATCAGCAATAAGATATTTCTAAATAATTTATTGGGGACATTTCTTCGTGTATGATTCCAAATGCCAAGGAATAATTTTGTGAACAGGATAGTGTCCAGCACCAAGTAGCCAGTCAGAGCTGGGTGCTTTAAAGCAAATGAGGCCCTTCCATTGTCCACAGTATGAATATAAGGAAGAGGGAAGGTCTAAACCAGGTTATACCACCTTTTCCTACACTTGTAGAAACCTGGTTATCTTTTCCTACACTGTGCTGGGAGTTGGCTGTTGGTGCTGCATAGTTATTTGTTTACTAAGGTTGTAGCCTGCCCTTAAATAAGATACAAAATAAATATAAGAAATGCAAATAAAACAATGTAGCAACAAGATAAAACAGCAGAAGTGCAGAATGAATTATATTAACTAATTCTTAAACAAGCCCAGGTATTTTTTAAATACTTCACATTACAGGGAAGCTCTTATCCTGCTGCACATGCCCATGAATAGTTGGGGCCATATAGAGGCTAGTTGTTAAAGACAGAGCATGTGTCATGAGGATGGAAATGTTTGGAAAATATATGCAAACATGCACCCTCTGGTTTGGTATTTCTGACAACCGCTTTTATTTATTGTGTTTTCTTTCACCCAATAGCCAAAGCTCTCTGCCCAGAGCTGCGCTAAGAACAATGGAAAACAGATTTTGGGATACTGTTGAGCATGGCTAACAGATTCAGACATGTGCTACAGAACCATGTGCTTCTGGCTCTTGTCCTTCCACATTCTTAAAGAAGAGAAAGAAAAAGCCTTTTCTGAATTTAAATGATACATGGATTTCTTGTTAAACCAGGGTCTTATTGTTAGTTTATTTTCTATCTAGTTTCTCTTCATTATGTTGCAACTAAAGTTGAAATATTTCAGTTTCTGGTTTTTTTTTGTTAGCTATTGATGATCAAGTAAATTAGTTAATCAATTGGAACCCTCAGTTTATCAGGTGAGAAGAACAATGGAGGCATTTTCTTTTTATAGTTTGAATTCTATATCAGGGATTACTGTGCATATTTTAAAAATTATTTTGATTATGCATCAATGACTATATATTTATGACTGTTTTAAATATCATTAGAATTACATATCTGAATTGGTGAAATACTAAACTTCTAAGTGGCACAAAGAATATAACTTTTTTCTAAAAGAGAGAAAATGTGGCAACTCTGCAAGTTACTTCAATATGCTCAACAGGAGTTTGCATTGGTTTTGTTTTTAAGGCACTTAAGAAAGTTGGAAAATTTGTGAATATTCAGGAAGTGATGGATCAATGGACACTCCAGATGGGTTATCCAGTTATTACTATCATGGGAAATGAAACTTCAGACAATGTTGTAAGAATCTCTCAAGAACACTTTATCTACGACCTTCATGTTAAAACGAAAGATCTTGGCCTTGGAAACAACAGGTACTTACATTTTCTAGTAGAAGTATCATGTTTTGCAGTTGTCTTGATACTATTTTTCTGTAACTGAAAATCCCTATAGAAATGGTTGTGTGAAAATTAAAAGTGAAGTGTCAGTATGATAGTGTTACCTTTCTATGATATTTTTAAAAACTATTCTTTAATGGGACAATTCAATACATAGGTAGACAGAACAAAATGCAAACAACTACCAGCATGACTCACCTAATTGCCTGGGGCGTGCTGATAGTTGGATTTCTTTGCTTCTGTCTAAACATGGAAAGAAATGATTTCCTAAGTAAATTAAATTAAAGCACTGGGTAATCATGTCTGCATCTCCACATTTTCCATCTTAAACTTTTTTTGGCCTTCACCTACTGAACATTTTTAAGTAGGTACAGGTATAAATATAAATGATTTCCAGATGGAGGCCTGTGGCCTTATCTCAATCAGTTAATCCTTGTGTTTTCCTATTCCAGTGGGCTAGCACTGAGGAAAGAACAGTTACACAAACATTAAATACAAGGATAGAAACACTTTCTTGAATCTTCAGTCCTGAGCTCATACTCAATTTAACAGAACTATGTAAGTGATAAACAAGCCCAAGTCCATTAAGTAGGGCACTTAAGCATTTGTTAAAAAGAGATATGGGGTGGGGGTGGGGGGAGAAAAGAAAATGTGGTCTTGTTAAGGAAGATTATACATATGTGGCAGTAGGCTACATCCATTTAAAGTACTTTTCTGAAGTAGTAGTTCCTGTAAGTACAAGTGGAAGCCTATAGAAATTGACAGAAAATGTTCATCAAACTCTTTGGGTGCCTTGACATCTTCTGCCCTACGTGCCCTACACATTTATTTATGTGTGCATATACAGATGGTCCCTTGAAAGGACCCATGACCTTATTTTTGCCTCTAACGATGATGCTAGCTTTGAGAATCAGTGTAAGAACCAAGAGGTGCTAGAATCATAAGATGCATGAGGAATTCAACCCAGCTTCTGTGATAGCACAGCTCTACAGCTGGGAGGGCTTGCAAGCTGGTAGTAGTTAAAGCTGACTTGTGTTTTATGTACTTCAGTCTTTTTTGGAATTCTCATAACTTGTTTAATAAATGGAACAAATCACTACTTTGGCATAGATGCATGGCTTGTCATTCATATAACTGCCACCACGTTAAGCAACCTGAAATAGTTTGCATGCTGGTGAGAGAGCTCACATCATGTAGCAGTTACTGTATTCTGCATAAGACTACTTTGGGCAAATCAGTGCTTCTGTGTTTCACTTGCAGTCCCATTATAAAGGTTGTGTGAAATATACGGGGATTAATCCAGAAAGATGCACACCTAAAACCATATCACATATAAGGAATTAACATACATGCTTTTGATAAACACCTGTGGGCAGGTAATCAACACTTCCATCCCAAACTAAGCAGGTTTGGGGGAGGGGACTGTTGAAACCATGGAGGTGATACAACTCCAGTGTCCCTTTCCATATGGCATTGTCCCAGTTCTGCTCTCTCACACCGGGCCATTTATTTTTTTAGATGTACATAATTATTGCCCATGCCTAATTAATATGATATCTAGTTTGGCACTTAGCTTCGTAGACATACCATAGATATAGTGTATATAAATATTTCCCACATGTCTTTCACTAACTTCCAAGGAAACCATGTTGGTTTAAACACAGGTTGATAATCTTGACAAAATTTTATGGAGTAATTTCTCCAACCTCTGCAAATCTGCCTGCTTTCCCCTTTTGAATTGCTTTGCCGGCGCAGGCGGTAGAGTTGACCATCTGCAAATTGAGAGGGAAGAGAAAATAATAGAAGGAACCTGTAAGCTTTCCTCTGAATCTAGGAACTACTGAAGGAAATAATAAGGCTTTCAAAACTGCTTGAAGATGATCTCAGCAAGTCTGTGACACTGGTAGACATTATATCGATCCTTATTCTTATCTCAACTGTATTTCCATGCCTATGGATTAGGACAACACAAACCTAAGGGAAGGGCAAATATTGTTATGCTTATTAGGCAAAGAATCAACTCAAAAAATGAATCTGTGCATAAGGACACATGAACTGGCCCAGCAGTTCAAGAATGAATGTGGATACACAAACCAATGCAGCACAGCTTGCTTGCTTGGTTTGTTTTGGAAATACAGCTTAGTAACACTGCAGGACCTGGGGAAGCAGGATACATTCTGAAATTAGAGCAAGCAGAAAACAAAAAGAAATTCAGTTATGAAGTCATGCATCTGTAAACCATACAGCCATGCACATTCCCATAAGTCCATGGATATCTTCTTAATTGCTTTGTAAATGAAATATAGTGAAAATGTTCCTATCTGGCAGTGGTAGCTATTACTAGAATAGTAGTGACAGTTCTCTAGTTTGGTTCATGTGATGGTGTTGCTTCAATCAGCCTTCACCACTCTTAAAGATTTAGTGAAAATCTGAAGGAAGTAAATATTCTTAAATGATCGCTGTTCTACCAAACCATGGTGAAACAGATCCATGGGTTGCTTTTGTGGCCTGAGTTAATTCTGGCTTGTTGGCAAAGACTACAGAGAGAACCCATGGATCTGTTTTACACAATCAGCATGGGTTGAACAAGCCATGATGACTTGTTAAGCTGCAGCATATGTTAGACCCAGGAGGCATTCTTGAAACAATCCTCAGATAACTCATGGACTGTTGTTAGGCTATTTGAATTAGCAGAGTGAAATAATTTGCTTTTGTATTTCCCTGCTCCCAGTTTGGTAGGAGTGGGGTTATGGAAATTCTTTCTCTCTCCCTGATCTAGGAGCTTGATTTTCTTAAGAATAGAAAGAGGTACATTAGACTGGCTTCAAATACACTGTGTATTCATTGTGCCTGAGGTTAGTTGTATCACATTCCTAAACTGCATGAGTTCACCTTAGCATTGTTAGTTGCTTTTGTGAATGAGATAGTTTGGTCCACACCTTTATACTCAGACGTGAGAAACCTATATTTTGCAAGCAGTTTTATTGGTTCAGTTATAATCAACCCAAACCCTGTGGCAGAAAAATTCTTGACAGTTCAGACATGAACTTAATTCAACCTGCATGACTTCTACCTGTGATTGTTTCCAGTGAAAATTGGCATTTATTTCACTTTCAATTTTTTGTTTTATATTCTAAGGACTAATTCATATGTCCAAACTGACAAGTTAAAGGTGTGGCTTTAGTGAATTCTTGCACTTTAGTGCCTAATTTCCAAGTCAGCCATATTTACTATAACCCTGTTCAGTCAAGAGTGTGTGTAGCAGATGAGTTAAGTAATAATGCTATCATGTGTTGATTCACAATTTTTAGTATAAAAACTGACCCTTAGGTTTTTCTAATTGTTTCCTATACGTAGCTCAGGTGTTGCTGACCACTTTTTATATGGTCTTTCAGAAAGGAGCTTTCCAATTCCCTGTAGGTGGATTGATTATTTATAGCAATATAGAAGTCTGAGAACAAATATGTCCTGACACAAAGGTTACTTGTATTCCTAGAAACTTGTTTTGTTTTGTTTCTGTGTAGTGTTGACTATGCATTCCCATGGTGTACAAACAGTGATTCCAGAAATTATGCATGGAACCACTTCTTCATTTCTCATGTTTGCCATATTTAGATAATTTAAAGATTCTGTTCAGGGGGAAGAATCAAGTATAAGGAAACACTATTCCTTTCTACAGCTTTATTTAATGAAGGTTGCATTCTGAGAAATAACAGCAAGAAGAAATTGTTGTGCTCAGGTCCTGTTTGTCCTCTTGACACATGTGCTTGGCCACTGTGGCAAACAGTATGCTAGACAAAATTAGCCTTTCATCTGACCTAGTAGGGATCTTCTTATTTTCTGATTGTAGTAGTTTTTGTTCAACTATGGAACAGTTCATGATTAAGATCTGCATGATATTTGGAACATAAGAGAACTGGGGTACAGGACAACAGCACTTAATGCTGGAGTTCTTTACTAAGTTAACCAAGCTACATTAAAAAATATATTTGCATTGAAAATCAAATTTCTACAAAGATGGGAGATTATTAAAATCTCCACCTGACAGTTCAAAGGACTTTTATTCAAAGAATTGGAGTAATTACCTCCCAAAGTCTATGTTGAGTATGTATGTATGTGTTCAAGCTTCCAACCAGCTGTTTTAGGAGCATCTCTAAGGCTGATATATATAGCTAATATGAACTTATAAAATAGAGTTATCAAATGTACTATGTACTGCTTATCCAGAATGAAAATACAGTATTCTGAGTAACAGATATTTTTCAAATAACTTTCCAAAGTATTTCATGATAGTTGTGAGCATCATATGAAAACCAAAGCATTTGTAGATTAGAAATCATTCAAAGGAGCATGTTTTTATTGTTATTATAGTACCATCATTAGGCATAGCATGTCACACACTGCAGCAAAACAGTTTCTGAACTGAACAACTTCAGACCTAAACAAAAAGGGGTGAGGAGGCAGGAATAAAGGGAGAAGGAAACAATGCTTTTTAAAGCCAGATTGTACACTTGGATTGCAGTAGGGGACTGCGTGCACACATGCTCTTTCCCGTAAAGTAATCATGGCTTGCAAATAAGCACTAAAGCACTAATTTAACCTGTCACATGGACATGCAGAAAGAGTCTTGCTTCCTGTGACATATTGTCATGGGTACATAAGATTAAGAGCAACCTGTCTGCACTTCAAATGCTAGTGCATATATAACAGTTTCTTAGACAGGGAAAGTAGAATCCCATACTGAGTATCCTTGTCAGTCTACTTCTGATTGGCACTTGCTGTAGACAATTACCGATTGCAGGATTTAAAAAAAAAAAAGAATAAATAAGTGGCAAGTGCAGGAAATCAGTTTTGGATTAGGATCCTGGTTCTAATCCAAAGGTAAGAAGGATTTATTCCTACCTGGTCCCAGTCCAGATCAAAACCCCTTTGTGGGCTTTTTGCATTAAAAGGACATTTCCCATCCATGTCGATAG